ACAGTCAATGGGGAAGGAAAACATATTTTGGTTTCAATATTCAGAGTTACAGCAACTGACGAAACAAGAGGAGAAAGTAAGTAACAACGGATGTATGTGGATATCTAATCAGAGGTAGATAAGGTAACAGAAAGGTCATCTGTAGGTTTGGTTAGTGAATGAAATGTTGGTGCCAGAATGACAAAAGTTTTGATTGCACACAGAGATGCAAATCGAGAGCAAAACTGGCAGAGCTGTTTTCCATTCTTTCTTAGTGCTTTCAGTTTTGATATATTAACATTAAAGCCACATGGAACCAAGACATCTTTTCTCTTCCTTTATGTTATGCAATTCTCCAGAACAAAGGGATAGATTGTGGCTTTAAGCCACCATCCTACTATTCTCCATTCATCCAGAGTCTTTCAGAAAAAAGTGGTCGATAAGACCTAAATTTCTAATGTGAAACACACAGAGGGAAAAAAAAAATCTTTTAAAGTATTTTTTTGTAAACCGACAAGTTCTGGAGCGTTGAGATCTAGGGCCTTTGTTCAGGCCCCAGCTCATATCTAATGCAACGCTCAGCAAATCTAAAACTAGTTCTCCAAAAAAATTAATTAATGGCATATTTTTCAATGATATTGTAACAGGCCAGATTAGTAAGACAAAGTAAATCAAGCACTAATTCCTACAGGGGATTCTTTCCCTTGATTTCAGAGGGCTTCAGCTAAGGCTTATGATTAAACCAGGTTAAAAATTAAAAAAAAGAAAAGCAAAGCCATCTTGAGCAGTTCTTGGGAGCACATTAATCAAAGCATGACTCTTCTGGCAGTTTCATCACACATGCAACTGTGATCAGTGCCCATGTATTCCACAATTGTACAGTCACAGATGTCACCCCTTGTTGCAGAGTCATGCTCCAGAAGCCAAGATTTCATTAAAAGAAGAATATGGGCCATATTGTGCTACCAATTTTCAACTCCTTGGGAGCTCTTCTTAAAACCCCCGGCCTGATATGGCCCTATCTTTCTAGTCCTTGAAATGTGAACTGAGGGTAAATCAAAGAGAGTTTGCAGGCAGCTTAAAACAAGAACTCAGAGAGAGGCAAGCTGCTTCATTCAACCCATGCAGTGTGAAGTCTGAAAACCAGATGACAATTCAAATGCTGACCTTGTCAAATGTTTCATTCATCTTTTATCTTTATGTAAATGTGCTTGTCTCACCACCCCAAGCTGTCTGGGGCCCAACTCAGCTGCCAATGCTTGAAATACCCATTACACAGCTGCCAACTATCCACCTTCCCTTCACCACCACCAGTGTCTCTGACCTCATAAAATGACGATCCGTGATAATATGTTGGGGCAGATCCATAGCGGGTATAAATTAGTATTGCTCTGTTACCCTCTCCACCCCTCAAGCTGTGCTGATTTAAACCAGCTGAAGATTTGGACTGCTGAATAAAACACCAGTGCCACTGCACTGATAGACAGGCAGAAATAGGAAACGAATAATAGGATCTCAAGTACCTATGCAGCTTCCATTATCACAGTGCCTGAGTCCCTGGCAAGCTTTAATGCACTTATCCTCCCAACACTCCTGTGAGGTAGGGAAATGCCTTTAACCCCATTTTACAGAGAGGGAAGTGAGATGCAGAGAGACCAAGTGTCTTGCCCAAAGTCATACAGGAAGTCTGTGGCAGAGCAGGAAATTGAAACCAGGTCTCCCATATTTCAAGTTAAAGCCCTAACCTCTAGACAAGCTTGCCTCCCTAGTTCAATAAACCCCACTATTTTGGAATAGGAATCTAGATGCTGCACAAAACAGAGCTAAGCTGCCATTACAATGCACATCAGTGACAATGGAAAAGCTCCTGGATAACCTTTGAAGTGTAGGATTTTTTTCGTTTTGAGCCGGCTTTTTCATTCTTTCTTTTGCCTTTTCCATCCTCTTCTACCCGATCACCTTCCTCCTCGCTGCTCGCGTCAGCCGTATTTCCTCCTTCTCCCTCAGTTTCTGATGAGCTCTGTTGCTGAATTGCCTTTGAAATAATAAAGAATAAATATCAACCAAAATTTCCCCCAAATAATTAATTTTTGCCATGTCTCATACTGTACAGTTAATCATTTTATTCATGAACAAATTAGCCTGATCTACTAACCATCAAAACAGAAGGCTGGCAGAGGCAATTTCATCAGTAGCCACTTGAAAATAGTTCTCAGATGCACATTCTGAGATGCCGTACTCAGAAAGGTTTACAGAGAAACAAGAAGTGCTGGTGACAGCAATCTGCACAGTGAAGAACTAATGACTCTGTTCAATAGAATCTGTCATTTTCCAGGTTTGTGTCATGCAGTGCAAACTCAGAGATCTTGACTGAATGGAAGAGTGACCTAATCAGTAAAAAGTGTGGCCCCCAAAACCAACATCTACCAGGAGGGAAGTTTCAAATTTGACTAGCAGATGAAGAATTTAGGTCCCGGAAGGTCAGGTTAAGGTATGCAATTCCAGCTGTGTAAAATATGTCGCTGAAGTCAGCTTACTTTAAGCCAAGGTTGGAACCATCTTCACAGAGGGAGGCCGATGGGAACAAATGCTTCTGTTGGCTTCCCTTACTCCTCACGACTGTCAGGAGTACCATGCTGACTGGGTCCGCCCTCAGCGTTTGATTTAGCGGGTCCAGAAGACTGATCTCTGGCATGGCATGTGGCAACGTTGCCTCAGGCTCTTCTCCTCCTGCAGTCAACAAGCTCCCTAACCCCTACATACAGATCATCTTCATACACGGTACTTTGAAGTACTCAATGGATAACAGCTGTCCTCCATCTTTTGGAGGTGGCTTATGCTCTTGAAGGACCATATAAGATATTCTGGACTTCTATACCTCCTTGACTGTTCCTCTCTGCCTGACTGATTCTGTTCCTGACCCGATAGGGACAACTCTTAAATTGAAGTTACTGTCCCTGTCAAAGCCTCCTGCTCTGCCTCCTCCCCTCCAATTTCTATTGTTGTTCTGCATTGCCAATGCAAAAATCTTTAGCCCATTGACAGTGTCAAGTCAGAGGGCAGCACACTGCTATAAAAATAAACAACAAAAGAACTGGGCACCAAATATTCATGTTTACATTGAATTCAAGAAGTAGCCTCCATTTTGTAATTTGTCTAAACCTGCTGAATTTTCAAGAGAACTGCACAGACCGAGGGGCTGCGCTGTACAATTAAGATCCCATTTGTCACAGAGGACAGGACTGTGCTGATCTTTATGTTATGCAATTACATTCTCATTACCAATTCAGAAACCCGTCAATCCCGCCCAAACCAGGGCCTCCTAGCATCAGCGATACAGTAATTACACAGATAAGATACCCTCAAAAGGAATATATGTAAAAATAAGGAGGAACAAAAGAGAAGTTTTCATTTACCTGGTATCCAGTAAACTTGACTCCAGGGTTATTTTCTATTTCCCACAGTCCTTCATTAAATCCTTTTCGTTTGTTCGACTTCCCAAACTTATCTTTATATTCTTTGTAAGGGAAGAGGTCTTTGGGCCCCAGGAATGCACTGCATTTTGACAAAAGTGACATTCAAAAATATTTTTAGGATTTTTCCCCTGCAAATTAAGCATATATTGACAATATGGTGCCTGTTCTTTTGTTCATCGCATTACAACATTACACACTGGCTGATTTTGTGGTAGCGCTGTGAATCTGAGTTCATAGATTTTACAGCCTCAGTTAGGACCCCAACTTTTGAGGTTACAAAATCATGCTGTGAAGCTCTGAAGACAATTATTACTTAGTCTCATGTATTATATTAATCACTTCTGAGAATTCTGCAAATTGGGAAAGGTCTAAAAATAATACTGTATAAAAATTGAAGTGTACGGAGAATTGCTAGAACCCAAGAGCAAAAATCTACCCCTTTGTTATGTGGCAATAATGGGTATGGGATTTATTATTATTGCCTCAGGAGCCCATTGTGCTAGGTGCAGTACAAACACGAACAAAAAAGATGGTTCCTGACCACAAACACTTATAATTAAGTATAAGACAAGAGACAACAGGCTGAGACAGACAGATGGGGGATAAGGTTCCTGGTATCCCCCATCAGGGTTCCCTCTAAGCTGCACGGGCAGCATGGCCCTGCACCTGCTTAAGGAGTCTTGCCCAGCCAGGGGCTCAGGGCTCCACCCATGGAGCTTCTTGGCTGGGGAAGGAGCACTTCTCCCTCAGAGACAGCAGCAGCTCCCTGCTAAGGACAGAGCAGCAAGTCTCTCCCAGCCAGTAGGAGAAGAGCCCCTCCCCGAGTCAGGCAGCTCCATGTGCAGAGCCCTGAGCCCCTAGCTCAGCAAGGCTCCTTAAGCAGGTGCAGGGACATGCTACCATGCAGCTTAGAGGGAATCCTGACTGAGGATACTAGGAAACAAGGGGATGCTATTGCTCAGCATCTAGCAGTGCTATCAGCAACCCAGGTGCCTAACTGTTGCCAAGTGATTTTGTAGGCATCATAGCTAAGAGACTTAGCACTATCCCCCTTTATAAAGCAGCTCTGTTCAGGTCAACCAGTCCCCAAAATGCAGAGGGGAAGAAATAAAATTAGCAAAAATTTACTTCCAAAAAGCAGAGCTATCACGATTAAAAAAATCCTACTCACATTCTATGTGCTTCCTGGCATGCACAAACTTTGGAAACTATGCCATAATGTTATACATAAAACCTAAAAAAAATCATTTCTTCTTCACCATTTCTTGGAGACTCGTATTTTTACAATTCCATAGCCAGTCATAATTTGTATTAAGAATGACGGAGGGAAAAAAATCCACTTCACTCCCATTAGACAGCCTCCTGCCCCCACCAAAATAAGCTCATAGCTACATAACCACTTTATCTTTTACTGTAATTCTTTTCCTTCCTTTGGTAACTAACTTGGGCACTTTTATGGCCCTCGTCATGGCAGAGTCTCAAAGCTCCACAATCTTTACCCACACAATAACTTGTGAGATAAGGCAGTGTTAATATCCCCATTTCACAGATGCGAAACTGAGGCAGAGAGACACTAAAAGACTTGCCTAAGGTGACCGAGGGATCTGTGACAGAGCAAGGAATTAAATAAGGATCTTCATCACACCATGCTAGCACCTTGACCATTGGACCATTCTTCTTCCCACTTGTGCCGCTTCAGTTAAATTAGGCCCTTGATCCTGTTGTCACTTATATGGGAGAGTAACTTTATTCATGAGTTGTGCCTCAGGGGACAGAGAGCAGGGAGACAACTGCAGTACTAAGGCCTTAAATTGTAAGCTCTTTGGGGCAAGGAGTTGCTCTTACTGCGTATCTGAGAAACAGTTAACACAATGGCACCTGAATCTGATGTGGCTGCTGAGAAATCCAAACTTAATAATAATGTGGAGAATAAAGGTGCAAATAAGCTGGTGTGCCCCATTGCAGCGCACTGATGAAAGACTGGCTGGCTGGGGACCATGGGCAACGTGGCCACGGCACATCAAGGCTCCACCCCCAGTGATTGGGTGGATGGACAATGCAGTCTCTGCTGCCCTAGCCAGCTCTGCAGATCTGGTGGCCAGGCAAGCCTGGTCATCACATACCCATCCCGAGCTCCCCCTACACATCCCCACCCCCTGCCCTGAGCCCTCCACCCAGCCCCACAACTTCCTGACCTGACTCCTGCAGCCCTCCACACTTGTGCTGAGCCCCATTACCCCTCACCCCGCCTTGACTCCTGTACCCCCACCCTGAGACCTCCCACCTCCCAAACCCTGCCCTGATTCCTGCAATCCCCAACACCCCTTCCCTGAGCCTCCTGCATTTCATCCTATACTTATATTCCTTACAGTTACTGTCCTATTGAAACCCACTCCCACCCTCTCCTGGGCTGACCCCCCCTCACAAGGTGAGGGGTAGCAATACAGCAGTACCTGTAAGAAATTTATTTCACGTCTGGTGGAGAATGTACATTTACTTAAAAGCTAAATAGTGATCTCCCAACAGACCAATGATAAAGGTGACAGGAAAGTAAAGAACCCCTTTCCTCTATCTCTAAGGGTATGTCTACACTACCACCCTAGTTCGAACTAGGGTGGTTAATGTAGGCAACCGAAGTTGCAAATGAAGCCCGGGATTTGAATTTCCCAGGCTTCATTTGCATCTTGCCGGGCGCCGCCATTTTTAAATGTCTGCTAGTTCGGACTCCGTGCCCGCGGCTACACGCGGCACGGACTAGGTAGTTCGGATTAGGCTTCCTATTCTGAACTAAAGGTACAACTCGTTCCACGAGGAGTAACGGTAGTTCGGAATAGGAAGCCTAATCCGAACTACCTAGTCCGTGCCGCGTGTAGCCGCGGGCACGGAGTCCGAACTAGCAGACATTTAAAAATGGCGGCGCCCGGCAAGATGCAAATGAAGCCTGGGAAATTCAAATCCCGGGCTTCATTTGCAACTTCGGTTGCCTACATTAACCACCCTAGTTCGAACTAGGGTGGTAGTGTAGACATACCCTTAGAGATAGAGGAAAGGGGTTCTTTACTTTCCTGTCCCCTAATTTTGTTGTTACAGAGACATGGCCAAGGGCTCCAAATAAAGCTACAGAGAGAACAATTAAAGAGGATCACACCATGAGACACCTGAATTTATATCACCCACAACATATGGAAATTTTAGGTCAGTTTTTACAGACACAGTAAAAAAACAAAAATAATCCCAACTTGGGTTTGAGATCTTTGCATTGTCCTTGGTGGAAGAGGATAGTTTTCATTGCTCTGCCATAAAGAGCTAAAGAGATGCACATTGCTGTTTATTACTAATTATTCTTTATAAAATATGGAGATAACTGCACAGTTTGTTTTTGTTCCTGAGGTAAAAACCAGATCACAGGCTAATAATAACTCTTGAGGCAAACAAGTTCATTAACCCCAAATTAAGCCACTGCAGAATTAACTGTAAGCAATGTCTAATTAAAATTATTCTAATTCTAAAATGTGGTAATTAATTATTTTGAGACTCTTTACTCCCACTTGTTTCTCCCCCTCCTCCGCCATGGCTCTGCC